TCTGGCCTCTAGAAGGATCCTCTCTCTTTCTTCAGTCGTAAAGAGGACCTGCAAGAGTTGTTGACAGTCGTCCCAAGTGGGCTGATGAGAATACATTAGGGATTCGAGGAGTCCTGTCAAGCCCGAGGGGTTCTCTGAAAAAGAGGGGTGGTTAGTTTTCCAGTTGTACATATCGGCTGATGAAAACGGCCAATACTGCAGGGGGACTAATTCCCCTGGAGCTGGGGCGGGTCCATAAGCCCGTAATGGTAGCGCAACGGTGGAGTCAGGTCCTGCGCCAGATCCCTCTGGGCTGCGGCCCCGGTGGCTTCAAGTCCCGGCCGCTGGCCCTATTTCGGAGGCTGTCTGGGAGTCCGTTGGGGCCTGTGGGGCTGCATGAGGAATGGGTTGAGGATATGGGGGAGGAGGGTGGTCAAGGAGGGAGACATCATTAATTTCAGGATAGATCCTCGGGGGAGCTGTTGGAGTGGGCGCTGGCGGATCTGAAGGAGGCACTTTGGTTTCGCAGCCACGGCCACCGTCGCCGTCCCTATTCCTGATGTCCAAGGTTTCATCCAGGGTGGCGGGTTTTGGACTAGGTCCTGCCACACGATAATGTATGGAACCTGATCAGGGTGTCCCCCTGTGGCCTGAAAAATAATTCGCTTGACAGCGGAAATAATAGATAGATTAAAAGTTCCCCCCGAAGGCCATCCTACACCGAAACTTGGCCATTCGGAAGAACAAAAAGTCCGCCAAGGTCCTTTTCTGACCTCGACAGATAGATTATGAGCCCAAGTCTTAACGTCCGTCCAATGGTCCAGGGTCAGTGTTAGTGGGGTCGTCATGGTCTGTCCCATGTCTACCTCTATTATACACACAATAAAAACAATCACAACGACAGAAAGACAAGAAAACAAAGCCAGCTGTCGACCTCGAGTCAACCAGTAATTCTGAAAGGAATCAGATGGCCGGGAAATGGCCCTTTGACACAGATCGTCAAGGAAAAAACTTATCTCCCAACCTTTTCCGTGGAGGTCCACCAGGCGTCCCTGGTCCTCCTCCAGTCCTCCCGGGATGTCTCCCAGGGCGAACAAACAGTGGACACCTGGACACGTCTATCCCCGTCCACTCCGCTCCTCCTCCTGGAGAGCGGCCTCGGTAGAGCGTTTGCAAAAACGGAACTGCGATTGCACCAGATTTTTGAACAAGCCACAAACAAAGAGTCACAACAGAACAAAAATTCTTACCTCCAAGTGGGTCTAGTACCCCTGGGTGGTCGCGCAAATCCCGGACGAGCCCCCAAATGAAAGACCCCCAAAGGGAGACCCTCACTCAAATCTCGGGAATAG